GGCTGCAGCGAAACCTGCGAGACTTTGCGTGCAATGCCATCATTCATAGAGCAAATAATCGAACAACGTGTAGGCACTGGTAACCCACCTTCCGCCCGCAATGACAGCACGCCCAGCCATCCTGCCCTGCGGGTGCGTCTCTCCCAGGTGAGGGAGGTCGTCCAGCGCAGTCGTGCGCCGGATCGCCCGGCGCCTAAGGAGCGCCCAGACGCACTCGAAGAGTAGGTAGGCAAATACGGGCGCGGCGATAAGCTTGCATACGAGAGCGATGGACATCACGAGGAAACGGACGACGGACGGACAGCACCTGGCGCAAGTGTTTAATAGACTCTGGGGATGATATTTATAAGCAGGAATCGCGATTGACACATGTCCAATAAAGTAGATATTAATATGAGGACCTGGTGGCAATGTTGTCCTTAGCGTGAAACCCAGAATGCAGGGAGTTTCATGCCTTTCTCGGGTCTGCAGCAAGCGGGGCAGCCGTGTCCACTCCCGCGCGCGAGTCCAAAGCAAGCAATCTACGTAAAGCCCGTCGGCTCATTTATTCTCGCATTTCACCTGAGATATTTCAGCGAGCCCAAGAGGATGGCAGTAAAGAGGAAAAAAGTATGGCTCGCGGTGTTCAGTGCAATGCGGCCGCGGTGCGTGCACCCCGGAGCCCAGAGCGGTGCCGGTTAGAGCTGACTTGAACTCCGCGTGGGCCCGCGACAGCCCCCACTTGCAATTGCAAGGTCCGAATCCACACAGAAGGAGAGGATTTTCCATTCCGTCTGCCTCAGCTGCCCACCACGTCAGCGCCTGGCAGGAGCCATCTCAGCGTGATGCTGACCCGCGTGCCGCGCTCGATCCACATTCCCGGGGCAGGTGGCCCATCCTCCGCGTCCACGAGATCAACACGTCGCTCAGCAATCCCGTGCGTCCACTCATACCTCGCCTCGCCCTCCAGCACGATGACCGATCGGCTTGGAAGCCATATAGACCTCCTGTCACCCGAGGCCTCCCGCTCGAAATCCATGACTATGCCCGAACCGAGGCTCACGCCGATGATGCCATCGCCGTAGCGCCCCAAAAGGTCGATATGTGATGTTATCCCCTCTCCCGGGCGATAGAGGTTCAAGATAGCCTGACGGGCCGGGTACGAGGCCGAGGATGCATCGTGTGGGAAGAGGAGCGTGTGTGTTGATTCTGGGAGAGCCGGTTTGAGCAGAGTGGACAGCTGAGCTATCAGCCCGTCAAACAGAGGGGGCAGGCCCGAGACCAATGGCTCGGCTCCGCCTTGTTTTTCGCCCTCGGAAGTTGGATGCCCGAATAACATTACTTGGTTGAGAGTCCCGCCCTCGAAGAAGTTCTGCTCTCGTATCTGAGATAGAAGTTGGAGGGCGAGGCTCTCAGGAATCAGCAGAGCTGGATCAAAGTGGAGGCCGGGGATCTGCGGGTTTGTCCGCGGAGCGGGGATGCTGCCCACGAGGTGTTTTCCACCTGGTAGTGGCCCATCTTCTCCATGCATGCTTCTGGAATCTGAGTCATCGCCGTCGAAAAGAGAATCGCGGTCGCTGTCTGAACTTTCCCGTGCGCTGTCGCTCATGGTGGTGAGTCGGGAAAGGTTGGGAAGTGCAAGTTCGTGCTGTGGCTGTGGCCAGGTTCCGCGTTGCTCGTCACCACCACCAGCTCATCATGGACGTCGTCGAGTCCGCACGTCCGGCTGTCGACCGAGAAAAAGTAAGAGCTGCGGCTCTAAATTTTCTGGGCGTGATTTTTACATATCTTTTGCGCGCCTTAGACTTGTCCGTTTCTACTTCGAACCTTCGTAAAAGTTGGAGGTTTCCACCGCCTTACCTTATTCGAAGACAACACGTTGCCCGTCGCTGACGAGCAGCAGCTATTCACGTGGTAGGTTTTGAATATGTGGCAGGTCTGCTCTTTCTACTCACAGGCAATCATTCATATATGCAGGAAAGATGCTACACTTCGCGAATTAGTCGCCTCCCTCCGCGCAATCCCCCAGAACCCATTTGCAGCAGCTCTCCGCCACCCCGCCGCCCGCTTCGCTTTCCGCGTCGTATTTCCCGACCCCACCAATCGCGGGCGCATAGCGTCAAAAGATCTCGGGGCCCTCTCCGCGCGCGAGCTTATCAACCCACACTCCATTGAGGACGCCGATGTCGACGACCAGTGGGAACGTAGTCGCGAAATCGAAAGGAAGCAGGCTGAGGAGAGAACTTTGGAAGAACTGCGAGTCATCCCGGGGGACTGGCTGACTATCTCTATCGTTTTGCCGGCCAAGGTTGTACCTGGTCCGCCTGGCCCGGGAGTAGGACTGTCTATACGCGGCGGTGCGGCTGCAGGCGGCCTTGGAAGGGGTGGTGACTCGGGTTGGGCGGGTATGAACGCGGGTGTGGGTCTGGGGAACGCGAGCGGCGGCGCCCCGCTCCACGGAAGGTGGGGAAAGATCGACCAAGAGACTGGCGCAGTCTCTAGCGCGCCCCGCGGAGGGAGAGGAGCGGGTGGGCCTCCTGGACGAGGTGGGCCGCCTGGGAGGGAGAGGGAGAGGGAGAGGGAGAGGGAGAGAGAAAGAGAGAGAGATAACGGACGCATTGGTGGGCCGAGGCGCGGCGACGATTCGCCACCACCGCGTCGGGGTGGATTCGGCGCGTCTCGCGGCGGATTTGAAAGAGCACGCCCGCCGCATGAGAGGCGGGATAGGGATAGGAGAGACAGAGATAGGTCGCGTACGCGGTCCCGGTCGCCCCCGCCCAGATACCGTGATAGGAGATGATTAGTCCTGTATTTTTGCGTGCGCTTTCCGCGTTTAAATTTCTTGGACTCGCTATGCATGATCTGCCATACGCGTGACGTTCATATGCAAGTACGCGTGCAGCGGCGGCCTGTGCGGCCCGCTCCTTGCACTGCACCACCATCAACCAACATGTCTCCCGCAGACGATAGCGTTGCAGGCAACGCACCCGAAGAATTCAAAGAACAGACCCGCTCCCTGCTTCAATGGTTTACACAACAAATGAATTTTGCGCCGAGCGTTCTGGCTCAGCTACAGCTCACCGGTGTGAGCATGGAAAATGAAGGGCGCAAGCAGAAGGCCACCGTTACCTGTGAAATTGTTACAGGCGAAGGCAGGCCATGTTTTTCCTTCTCTCACTTTCGTGCTTGTTCATTATCTTTGTCCTATGAAGACATGCTTAACGGGCTTGGGACGATGCATGGAGGATGTATCGCGTATCTCGTGGATGTGTAAGTATCCAATGCGCAGAGTAGTGCACGCGCCCACGACTCGAATTTATCTGACTGGAAGCTCGCAACAGGTGCACGACGATCCCCATAATGATTGTCGCGGACGGTGGGGATTTGAGCACTGGTGGTGTATCTCAGACTTTGAGCATCGTATACCATTCTCCGGCTACCCTGTACGTGTCCACCGCCGTTTCGACTTGACCCTGTTGTATCTGATGCCCTAACGCATTGCACAACGCTAGTGGCAGCCATTTGCGTATTGTTTCTACTATCGTATCGAGGGGTCGGCGCGTAGTCACGGTTCAGTGCGAGGTAAGTACATGCGTTATTTTTCGTAAGCTCCATGTCTCAACTCCCTGGGTAGGTTTGGGATATCAAAAAGAATGCGATCGTTGCCAGCGGAACCCACATTAAAATGGCTCCTTCATCACCCAAAGCAAAGCTCTAGATATCTACACGGCGGCGTATTTTCTCTACACTTGATGGACTAGGTTAGTCGTTCTCTGGCAGCGCCTTCAAATACTCGCAGAGCTTGTCCAGCGCCCGATATCGATGTGAGAGGCCGTCCTTCTCTTCTGGTGTCATCTCTGCGTAGCTATAAAACAACAGCTCGTCAATAATCTGTATGTAACATTAGCGTTAGGAATGGACTCGCGTTTTATCTTTTCCGGCAGGCTGGAAGATGGGATCCCAGCCGAACTTGCCGTCCCCGCGTGCTGCAACAATCTCTCCCTCTGTACGGCCTTCAAATAGGAGCGGTTCTGTACCTGGGCCTGCGCTATATGCGAATGTGCAGAGAGCTGTGGCTGCGCGCGTTGAGAATCCGTCTAGCATCTTGTTGAGACCTAAACGTCAGACATGCACGTGTAGATTGGAAGGAAGGTGAGACTCGGAATAGCAAGAATCGCAGGGTGAAGAGGGAGGACTTGCCATCATGACCGATGGACTTGAAGAACCACTTGATATAAGGTCCGGGCAGCCCGCCAAGCGCTTCAAAGCAGAGCGCGGTATCTTCCGTGATGCAAGGGCCACCAACCTAGTCTCCCAGCACCACGAGGTGAGCGAAGGGACAGTGGTCTTGAGTTTCGAGCGAGGTAACGCACCAATTCCGCGGCTCTGCGGCATTTCTCGCGCGATACATCGGCAGTCGTACCCTGCAACTCAGGAACTAGATACTCGCAATGGATACATCTGGTTAGCTGCAAGAATAAATCTGGATGTGCCCCGTGGAGATTCAACGCACTATCGAGATCTCTTGACTCGAGCTCGAACCCCTCGAGTCCTGATGATAGGATGTGGCGCGTTTCCCTCAGCTTGTTGGGGTTTCCAGTAACGAATACTATGTATACCATATAGGTGGCGTGAGATCGACGTGGATCAGGCTTCAAATAATACACGTGCCTAGTGTTCGCGGCATTGTGATTTGTAGAGCTTTCGGGCTGGAGATGATTGACGATGGGCGGAGGTGTGAAAGAGGGATCGGGAAGATCTATTGCCTCATCTATATACTCTACGCGCTGCGCAGTGACTCGAGTCTCGAAGTGTTGAGATGAAATCACCCAAGCATCATGACTCGCCATCTTAGAGTCCATTAGCCAGCCAAGAAGCTTGGATAAAACAAAAAGGCATAGACTTCCTCCAGGATTAAAACAAATAACCGCCAAGAGTATGCAGATGCTCACCCACATCAGTGTAACCCGGTTGCGCTGACCATCAATCAGTGGATCCGGAATGACTGGACAGAAAAAGAGAGGTCTTACCCGGGTTCGAACCGGGGCTCTGGGAAAGTGGCTGGTAGTCAAAATCCCATGTCCTAACCACTAGACTATAAGACCGTCGGGCCATGCGTGTCTACGAGGCATTATCAATAGTCAGATGAAATCTTGAAGTAATAGCACGTAAGTACTGTGGCCAGTGATCAGGACACCACCTCGGAAGTTGAAGCTGGCAACCTGCAACGATCACAAGTGTAGCATATACCATGGTATCCGCGTCCATGACACGATTGCAGGCTTCCATCTAAAACTTTCTGCCCCGTAAACCACAGTCCCTCCAATTTGTGCTCAGCCATAGCTCCTCCAGAGGTGGGCTTCTCGCGCGATAAAGTGTCGCAGAACGCTCATCAAAGCGCGTTCTGTTGCCCCATTTCAATCCTGTGTCTTTAGGCCACGCTGATACCGTGTGGGGCACTCAATGGACCGCGGCTGACATGGTCGTTTCAATCTCTGCCGACGGTACTGCAGGTCTCTGGTGCGTTCCCGATCGTTGACGCGGCCGAGGTCACACTCATTATCTTTATTTATTCTGCTCTGTAGGGATACGGCGACAGGAGAATCTATCCGCTCTTTGCCTCCGCACCCTCTTGCACTCGTTTCCCTCTCCACAGATGCGAAGGGCTCCCGAGCGCTGTACAACTCGATAGAAGGCACGACGGGCCTTTGGGATCTCGAGTCTGGCGATGTGTTGGGGAAGAAGGAGAGCTTCGACACTAAAGCGGAAGGGATTGAGCCAGGTAAGAAGTTCCCTGTGTGAACATACAAAGTCTAAAACTCGTATATTAGCATGGTCCGTATCGCTGAGTCCTGACGCGACCACATATGCCTCAACGGGCGCAAGTGGGACGATCACCATACATTCTGCCGATCCCACGACGTTTGGTCGTTCGGTTGACACGCTGTCGCCGCGATCCGCTGATGGGAAACATAAATTCGGGATGTTCGTCTCTTATGTAGGTTTTACTTTCTTTCATACCTCACAGTCCGAGCTACTGAGTGGTATATATCCTACAGAGCCCAGATGGCTCGCGCCTTGCGATGTCGACGGAGCAAGGGCAGATATTCGTCTTCGATATCGAAAAGAAGGAGCTCGTGAACTCGTTTGCTTCGCATGCTATGTGCGTGCGATCACTGGCCTGGTCGGCGGACTCCCAGGTATTTGGGCTTTGTTGCTACACGCTGCATGCAGACCCACAGAGATGCCTTTTGCGTGCAGCTCCTTCTATCTGCTTCGGATGATAAACGACTGGTTCTCCACGATGTGCGCACCGCTTCGGGGTCAGGCCGACCGGGATCCGGAGCTGTCGCTTCGCTCAATGGCCACTCTTCTTGGGTTTTATCTGCCTCGCTATCTGCCGACGGAAAGCACGCAGCTAGTGGGTTCGTAAGGCATTATTTCTCTTGCACCTATCCAATATCTCACAGATAGTTTGCTTCGCACGGCAGATCATCCGATCGTACCGTCAAGATCTGGGATCTCTCCTCTCGCCAGTGCGTCTCTACGATCCAGGAGCAAGGCGAGATTTGGGGCGTATCCTGGCGTCCGCAAGGTGGTGCGCTTGTTACTGGCGGGGAGGATGGCTCGTTAAAATGGTGGCGAGGTTAGATCTTTAAGGAAAGGGGAAAATGCGTGCGTCTATTTTTTAAAAGGGCAATGTCTGTATGGTATGTCTGAAGATCCAATAAAAAGGTCTTGCTAAAGGTGGCGGAAACTTTGACACACTTGAGATCGTCGACCTTGCGTAAATCCCAAACGTAATCCCAAGTCCATACTTATAGCTAGCCCCAGCACGCTGATCAAGACATGAAAAAAGCGAAGAGATGCCGGAAATGACGAATCCAGGTCCTTAGGCCCTTGGCGGAGTCGACATCAGGGTTGTTCGCTTATGAGAACGCTAGCCCTGTTGGGAAAATGGATATAGCTCGTCCTCTCTCGTTAGGGGCTCGTCTTCTGCCAACCCCCTCACCATTGTGACGACTGTGCGCCAGGATGGAGAAAAACACAGATGAATTGCTGCTGCCGACTCATGATACGCACAAGCTGCTTCCACCTCCACACGCTTCGAAGCAACTCCGCACGCGCCCGTCGACCTTTTCCCGACTACTTGCGATTGGATTTATTGCGAGCTTGTACTTTGTTCCCAGGCTGATCCGTGGGCGGACTGTGGACACGGGGCCTACGGCGCGAGAGGATATCTGCGTCCAAGAAGATCCGCTGACGCCGCAGAGTCACTCTGCGCTCGCGGGATCGCTTGGGGAGCGCTACGATAGCCCTGAGTTCAAGCAGAGGGCGGTTGAATGGCTGAGCGGAGCTGTGCAGATCCCGTAAGCTATATCCATATACACCCCTGCTCCGCCAGAGATGCTGAGCTCTCCATGGTGGGATTCCAGAACCGAGTCATACGATGATATGGGCGCAGTTGGGGAAGATAAGCGGTGGGAAATTTTTGCAGATTTCCACAAGTACCTTCAGGACGCGTTCCCAAAAGTGTGAGATCACCTACCTTAATATTAGGTCGAGAGATGCGACTAACACATGCCTTATCCCAAAAAAGGCATGCATCTCTCAATCTTACAAAAGTAAACACCTACGGCCTCCTTTACCATTGGGAAGGTTCCGATGCGTCGCTCAAGCCTGTCCTGCTCGCCGCTCATCAAGGTAGGGTTTCACACGTCTGGAGTTTGCAAAGATGCTCATATGTCTTTTGAAGATGTCGTCCCCGTCAACCCGTCTACGGTGTCCGAGTGGATCCACCCGCCATACTCTGGTCATTTTGACGGTGAGTGTAAAATGATGTCCAGCCAGGAAAAGTTGCTGACCGCGTGGTACCGGACGTGCAGGGGAATATATCTGGGGCCGGGGAAGTGGAGATGACAAAAGTGGACTCATTGGGCTTTTGTAAGGTCGACCCACCACGAGGTGAGATCATTGCTGAAAATGTTCTGCAGGTCGACCGTCGAGAGCCTGCTCGAAGAAGGATTCCAACCCAAGAGATCGGTTGTGCTTTCCTTTGGATTCGATGAAGAGATCAGCGGGTACCATGTGAGGAGCCTCTGATCGTATACTATTTGCAACACAACATCTAAAGGACCATGGTCAGGGCGCTTACAAACTATCTCAGCATCTATTCGAGAAGTATGGAAAGGATAGCTTTGCCTTCCTCATTGACGAAGGATGTAAGTATCACATTTTGTTCGTGCATGCACTTCAGTTTATAACCTCACTCTTCTGGTCAGCCGGCTATTCCGGAGAAGGAGGTGCAGTCTTTGCATTGCCCGGTATCGCTGAGAAAGGATATCTGGACGCGCGCGTCACCGTCGCCACCCCCGGGGGGCATTCTTCCGTTCCGCCTGCTCACACATCTATCGGCATACTCGCCCTCATCATCGCTCATATCGAAGAACACCCCCATACACCCCAGCTCACCCGCACTTCCCCCATCTACAGCGCTCTCCAGTGCCATGCAGCCCACGACCCGACGCTTTCAAAAAAGCTCAGGACCGACATACACAAAAGCCTGAAGAGCCACAAGGCGTTGAAAAGCGTGGAGAAGGCTATATTCAGTGGATCGCAGGCGGGTTCCTATAAAGCGCTGCTTGGGACTACTCAGGCCGTGGACCTGATTGAAGGCGGCGTGAAGACGAATGCGCTCCCTGAGCGAGCGAGCGCGGTCATCAATCACCGGATCGCTATTGAAAGGTGCGAGCTACGGTGTACCATTTGCACGCCCATACACCGCCCATTCTGACATGGCGTCTAGCTCTGGTTCCGAGCTGGTTGCCCACCTCACGAAAGAGCTCAAGCCCCTCGCCGAGCAGTTCAACCTCGCCTTTTCCGTATTCGGAGCCAACATCACGTCGCCCACCAATTCTGCGGGTACACTCGTCGTATCGGACGCGTTTGACAAGACCCTCGAGCCCGCACCCGTCACGCCAACTGATGCTGCTGCTTACAAGCTCCTCTCGGGAACCATCCGCTCCGCGTACGCGAACGGAAGGGGCCGGAGTACCGGAAACAAGATGATCGTCGCGCCTGGAATGATGACCGGAAACACAGGTGAATGCTCATGGTTTGATGAGTCTTGCGCAGGTGCTAAAATTCAGCGTTTGACGATAAGATACGAGACATTATTGGGACCTTACGCCCCACATCTTCCGGTACGGGCACGCAGACAGCAAGGATCACTTTGCGGGCATTCATACGATCAATGAAGGTAAGGGGATATGCGATGGAGTGTGAGCTTGTACGAACTAAAGGTCGTCGCGCCTGTCTCACAGCACAAAAAGCCGACGGACTCGTCGAAGTGATCCGATTCTATACGACACTGATCCTGAACGCGGATGAGTCCGACAAGATCTAACAAGATGAACCCGAAAGCTATGTACACGTACGCAGTGTAGAAAATCTCAAGAGGACAAGCGCCCCCCTTCTACGAGAATGCGGCGATAGTGAATCCCAATAAAGAAGATACGCTCCTAGGTCATAGAAAGTTGCTCGGGATCCGCACTATGCATCTCTATTCCGGATAGAAAAAGATTCCACTGCGTCGGAATTCGAAGTCACATACACAATTGCCAATCGGTGTCTATGCACCTGGTACTGGTAGCAAAGCCCCAGTCTTCCTCTATTCGCCTTCGCGCGCGCACGCGTACGAGATGCTCACCCGCTCAAACTCCCGCTCAGTGCGGATGGTGTCTGCAAATGACGTGCTAGGGAAGCTCCGCCCGGCGCTGAGTACTGAGTACTGAGTCGGAACTTCGCTCCACTTTCGCCCCGCGTTTACATAATTTTCCTTCGCGCGGATTCCTGGATCCTCAGCCAGCTCTAAATCCACGTGGATGAAAATCGCGAATTCCTTCTCGCATGGTGGGAATTCGACACTCGATTGTCAATGTCATAGATATTCTTGGGGTGACGCTTCTGTATCTACCAGAGCGCTTGCCGTTATTACCTGGAAGTCCTGCGCAGCGCCATCTATACTTGCTCTGTGCCGCGTGACCGTTCATAGTTCGACACTATCGTTTCCGTTGGGGCCGTACTTAACTATATCGCTCTCGGC